CCAACTGGCTTATCGGCTTTTCACCAACTTCGCTCCAATGCGAATGTGGTGAAGGACAATTTGAACTCGTAGTCAGCCTAGCGAGGGGCGCAGGCCTCCCGTCCCCCACTGTTCCTGCCCTTATTGTGCCCTATCCAGCCGTTTTTCGACCTCATTCCTGCACAAATGGTATCAGAGGGGGCTTCGAATTCAAACCATGTGCAAACCTCCGAAACCACTTTTTCGTGAACAGTGCCTTTAAAGTTATCCCTAATTCCACGTTGAACGCAGCGTACTTCCTGATCGGTTGATTTAATGGATCTCATGGAATGAAGTTGGTTGTCCCCTTCCTACACTACCGAAGGTACGATGATCCAATGATCTGAGCCGCTCCCAGTAATGGAATAACTGAGGCTATATACCCAAAGAACCCATGTGATATAACCTCGTAAAGATTGGGGCCCATCACTTCTGGTTGCCCTTTTTTCGCTAGTATTTACCCTCCTGACTGTGTAATAGTTAGCCTACCTCATTGAACAGGCTATAGCGCTTTTTTGTCTTAAGATATCACCTTTTTTCCTTTTTATAACTTTTTTTCACAGCGTCTTTCACATGATGAGTCATGTCCTGGCTCTGTTATACCTATAAGGAACTCTTTCCCGGAACCATCGACGAAGGAGAAAGTTCTCCTAGATGGATCAACCTCGAGAGCTCGATTCTACTTACGTCCTAAGCTCTCTACTGTACTTCAACGCTTGATCACTAAAAGAAGAGCTCTTCTTACATGACTGGCTTTATACCCAACTAGAATTTTAATAGTTTTTTTCAGGCATTCATGAAGAAAATACACGAAGTCAGACCTGATTTTGAAGGAGCTATAGCTTACATTGACCAATACGGTAGACAGGTGAGCAACAGCCTCATTCCCTTGTTATTTCTCATATCCCCATATTATAGGTATTACCCAAGCAGGCGAAAGAGCTAAAATTAGAAGTTCATATGCAATTCCAATGAAATGCCTTCTGCTAAGAAGCTTTTGTCACGTAACCACTTACCTCTGTCAAATTCGAATGCAAATTTTATTAGAATTTTTAATTTCGAGACTGCAACGTCATTATAATAGCCTATTGGGCTCATTTAAGTAATAGCTCGTTTCACGTTAGCAGACGATGAGCAAAAACTGTACACGAGTTATACTGGTTGACCGTCTTACTCGATATTTTTTCAGGTAATCGTCAATAGTGACAAGGATTTCAGAGAAGCCATCAATCAGTCAAAGGTACGTTTATGGGCTCACTTATCTCTTTTAAGAGCAGACTTCGCTTACCAAAAGCCAAAAAGGGTCTCAAGGTGGTCGAGGGTTGGAGCGGTAAAACCACCGTCATTTGCATATAGTTAATACAATGAATCCAAAGAATGAGAGTGAGCATTTCCTTCATGTCATCTCGACCAGTAGGCGTGACGATGCACGACGTAACGTCGGATCCCCTCCTCCAAGCAGAGGCCTGGGTTCCATGCAGTATAGTCCTGCCATCAAGTTACTACAATCTTCAATGTTGCTATCCCTACCAATGTCACTAGGGAAAACATGATGCACTCGACCAGTCGATTTCTGAGATATTAGCTGCATGATATGGAGGGTAACTACACCTTTCATTTATAGTTTCTCTACCTTTCAGCCTTGAATTACCCCTATGTAGTGGTAGACAGAGAAACAGCAATCATTCCAATAAATTTAACTTTGGAGTATGAACGTACTCGACCTAATGAATTTTGATCCATCATGACCCCTATCCACCGCATTTTCTGAGGCAGTTCCTTTTTTACAGGGCAAACTGAAGCTGCACACCACCCTCAGCGATGGACAGGTGATCTCAGCAGCCGAGATCGCCGGCAGACCTAATCGTTCGCACAGCGTTCCACCGTCAGCGGTAAGTAGCAGCTTCTGATCATTCGACGTCTTGTACACCCTCATGGCCTCACCTGCCTGGCAGTGATTGCCGAGCCGGACATCCAAGAGCACCAAAGATGAATAGAATTTGCCACTTCAGATAGATATCAAGAGCGGAATATGTGTGTCAAAAATCTTAGAAATCTTCTTTACTTGCAGGATCGTGGTTACCATTCATATCCACCGGCCAATTCCCGTTCTCCGTCATCCATGGATTCAGCTCCACCCTCATATCCTAATCGAACGATATCGCCACCACCGGCTCCGATCGCCTCCGTTAAACAGCAACAAATGAGTCCTGGCTCCTACACTTCTGGAACGCAGGTGAGCACAAGCACTTCAGTGTAACTAATGAAAAAGACAGAAGTTCTCAATGCTTTTGCGATACACAATGTGTCAAATTTTCGAATCTTACTAGGACACTTTTTCATGCATTTTTGACTAGGAAGAAAGCGAAGTTGTTGTCTGCGTTTTAGATAGCCCATTCACTTGGTTTTGCATTTTTATTTTGGGCATGTAAACAGTTGGTCGAAAGCAAAAGCTGAGGAATATTGTTTGACGTCTATATCCATTTTACCTGACTCCCCCATTTGGTGCTTACTTTGTAAATCTAGTAATAGTCTGCTTTGGATGAGTCCTAACTAGCCACGAGAAAGCCCTCTACCGTACACCCAGTTCGAGGGTCAAGCCACCACTGAGAACCAGCTCAGGTTAACGACTTCTTCCATCTGCCTGAAGTCGGTTCTACGGAGCTACGGAAGGAATAAGAAGAGTGGGCCGGGGAGTTACAGGCTCTGAAAGGACCGATAATATTCGGTGAATTATAGCAAGTGTACAATTAGAAGATAGTGCGGACTCGAAAGGAGCCGAATGAGTTCGGAAATTCCTAGCAAATTCAGTCAACATCTAGATCATATTGCTGTGTCCCTCCGCTCTCTTCCTGAATTGTCGGTACTGTAGTTTGTACTACTACACTTCATGTGGAAAATGTGGATAATAATCCAAATATAGATACTTAATCAAACCCCTTAGATAATGCCTAATTGGCTCTTATTATTTTTCCCCATAAATCGTGGCTGATTATTTTGCGCAGTTGTTTTCACATGAGCTTCAAGTGAGCCAATTGCTTGGTTTGCTTGTTATGCTTGTTTACTAGAAAATATATTTTACGTAATTGCCCCACTATATTTTATGTTGGCTATCGGAGAAAGCTCTTTCTCTCATGAGGGCGCAGGGAGTTAATGAAAAATGTCGTGTCAACAATTCTAGTAGTCGAAATCGGTATGACGGGCTCTGAGGGTCCTCCGGAATAACGATTTTCCCGACTTCCCTTTGAAATCATTGAGACTTTTGGTCGGGGAATCATAAAGGCTTGAAAACTTTGCAGCCATTGTTTTCATCTTTCCGGACAACTTTGGAACCTGAAGCCAGCAAGGAGAAGAGTTTTGATGATTCTGGAGGAGATTTGACGTCACTCCCTACTCCTTGAATTGCCGTCTATCTTTGTGGGCCTCAGATTCCAAGATACTTCAGCGTGAATGACTTTTGTTATGAATACATATTCTGCCTCCCTAAAGCATCTTGATCGCTGTATAAATAAATATAAATCAAATTTAATGATATATAAATAAATATAAATCAAATTTAATGGTAATGTAGCTAAGTGTGCTACCTTACTGGACCCCATAAATTTTTGCCCCTTTTCGTGAGTATTCCAAAGGTGCCCTCAGAGAGCGAAGATCCATTCGATGAGATTCTCGAGCGCACATAGTTTGGCGTTGAATGAAACGTCCGTCTCACATCAATCATACTGAGAGATCGCTCTTCGTCGTAGACAATTGAGGCAAGAATACTCCCCTTCACTGAAACGGAACGGATTTTTGCCAAGTCTCATCAGATTCCGACTTGCGTCTATCCCAACCCAATTAATCCGGAAAGGTCATAAAAGTCTTTCCTGAATATGGAGCGCATTTACAGTCTTGGAAGAGTACCAAAAGAAGAGGATGCAAGGCAAGTGCTGATGTGATGCAGATTTGGTGCAGATAGCGACCACTATCCGAGTCTAAACACTTGTTTGTGGTCCATTTCGTTAAAGTTGGGTTAATCTCCAATTTTTAACAACTAGGATCGATTCAGTGGGCCATTTTGCCCATAAGTAGCGCTTCCTGCCAGTGCTGCAACAAAGTGCGGACCAAAACGTACCCAAGGTCAAGCTCTCTCTGGTTTCATTGTCGTGGTTTGTCGTATATCTCTCCCAGTGAGCACGGCGCTGGCAAAACCACCACCCCAGGGAGAGGGGCCTTCCATCACAGCGAACCTTTTCTAAAGTGCACCTGCTTGCACTTTTGCGACACAAAGCTGTGATTTCTCCAGGAGGGCTAAATATTCTTGACAAATAGCAGACATGACGTTAGGCCATTTTCCCCATTTTTTTCCACCTAAGCACTCGAAAACAAGGCAGAGTGCTAAAATGAATGTAGCCTTTGGGGGTGTAAGCGCCTTGGGTCTACCACCATTCTAAAAAAACACAGAGGACAGGAACATACATAGGTCTATAGGAGGCTGTGAATAAAATGCGAGTGAATTCGAAGTTGCGGCTCTGATGATGGATCCCAGATTAGAGTGTAATGCAAGAATCTTGAAAACTAGTCTAGGAATGCTATCGAAAGCTTACAAAATTCTTAGTGGAAGTCGAATCTCTGGCCGATCCCTAAGACCCAGGGATTTGGAGAGGTAGATGGTATTCCGCGGTATTGTATGTACTGGATCGAATTTTTTTTTGAACTCGGTGGACAGAATCCAGCAATATTCCGGGAGAATTCATAACAAAAACGTGATCAATGACTTTTTTCCTCCTTTTGTGACTGAAGTTTAGTAATGAAAAAAATAACTGGAACAGAGAGTTTTTCGTTGTGTACAACCTGCATTTCAGATTCCTTACCCGGGATATGGTTACAAATATTCAACGTATGCACCGTACTCGCAGAATATCCTCTATGGTATGCCACCGCACAGCGGGATGCTGTTGAGGTGACCGTTGATCTTCCTTTTCATCTCCTTTCATTCTCTTTCTTCTTTTACGTTTTTCCGAAATCACTGTTTTTTGCAGGTTCCTTGCCAGCCCATTCCCGTTTGGTGGTCATTATCGAACATCATTCATCGGTCCCAACAAATACCATCATTTTGGTAATTGGGGTGGTCATAAGTATTACTCATCTGGGTGGGGACCAGTATGGTGACCAATGCATAACCTGCTACTGCCTATATGTATAATAAAATCTTAGAGCTTATTATTTTTACCTTACGACCAGTGGAGTTGGTCAGCTACTGAGATGAGATGACCAAACTTCCTATTGGTAGCATGCCGATCGAAAATGAAGGATAGGATTCTCTTCTACCGTACTACTCCTACTCTTCAACAATCACTTTGTGTACTTTTACGTTATCGAAATATATTTTATGTTATCACTGCTACACATGTGTAAACCCTCATATGTAACTATGTAAATACTGCTCATTAAGATGATTTTGTTTTGCATAAAGGAAGGAATCAGTTTTTCCAGTTGATGATAGTTGTTACTCTACTCGAGCCATTGGGTGTACATTCTCATCGAAGAAGGTAGATCCTCGAACTGATCGGTTGTCTATTTCAGTTTAATACCCAGTAAAGTCGTCTGGCAAATCACAAAGACGAAGATGTTGTGTACGATATACTTACGGAACCCCGATCAGGAAAACCGCGAACGCTCCAGATTGCCCTCATTTTTTTAGTAGCAGAAGCTCAAGAAAAGCTAATCAGGAATGCTGGTTTGGAAAGACTTCCTGAAATAGTAAACCCCAGCACTAGTCTTTGGCTTTACTTGAATAAGAGCCCGAAATACTTCATGTATTTTCTCGAGGGAGCTATAAATATCCGCTTCAAAATCATAACTGCCATCAGAGAACGGCTTCGAGGGCTTGACGGGAAGAATGTGAAGCGTCACAGCGAGGAGGAATATACTCAGACCTGCAGGAGTCCGACGAAAGTCGAAGTCTTGTGATTTAAACGAGAGTTTCACAACCCACTATTGTCGTTTTGTGTACCTTTCGAAGCAATTAAGGTCTGACGAAGGCATTATATGCCGAAAGCTCACCAATAAAAGTGAAGAGCAAAGAGCTTCGAAAACTACACAAAACGACAAGAAGTCTTAATGAAGCTCAGAGTTAGCAGTAATTTTAAAAACCCCATTATTATTCTGTTCTGCGCTATTCTGTTGCGTTCTGTTTTGCGGAAGGAGCTGTTGATGAATGCACCCTCGATCATCGAAGAGCAAAACCAATGATCGGCCTAATCAATTCCGAAATTTGGATTACTTTTGGTATGTGAAGGGGACCCCCGCACAAAGACGCTCTAGACCAAAAGACGGACTTTTGTACTTCAAAACCCTTCTTACTATTTTAAATTAGGAATCCCTCACTGAGAAAAATGGAGAATAAGGTTCGAGCCAGGAAGACCCACTTCTCGGGAAAAAGGCTCAGTCGTTTGCCGAGGCTTCTGTCTTTCTCATAATGATCCAGTTTTCCAACGGAACAGCTGAAATTCGTCGAAGACAGAGTGATGTAGATTGTACCCATACGGAGAGAAAGGTGCACTTTTAAGGCCATCATCGCTACGGCATCTAAGAGACCACTGCTTCCATATTGTCCGAGTATATGTATATGTTCGGTATATGTACAGTGGATTATTTCGGTCTCTGCTATTCAATAGCTCTAAAAGGTCCTCTTCTTAATCGATTTGCTGCTTTAGAAAGACGATTTAATGAAAAATTCAGCAAATGAAGATAAAGTCACATAATGTCAAAGCTTGTAATTGAAGGAGGTGACCGGAACATGAAAAACTTCGAATAAGCTAGAATACCATCCCGAAGAACAATCGATGACGACGAATCTGCTTACACTCGTCGATATTACTCGATCATCGTATATTTTTGACGAAAAATCAAACGATGGTCATGAAATGCTGCAGTGCCGATCAGAGCGGAAAGAAAGAGCTTCTCACAAAGTGACTAACAAACATTGATAGCGAGGGTGTTCAATAAGTTGGTGAAAATGTAGTTGGGGGGTGCCAGCGCCCTTTTGTGCTCTGTGTCTCTGACACTGGCGGCAGAGGGCATACAAATCGTAGAGATGTATTCCTCCCCTTCTAAAAGTTAGGGAAGGAGCTCCGGGTTAGGAGGGGTGATTATCTCGTGCAAAAAGCTAGGAAGGGGTAAGAATTGAACATCCAATTGGCTCGCCCATCCCGGAGCTCCTTCCCTAATTTTTAGAAGGGGAGGAGCTCCGGGATGGGTGAGGTGATTAGACAGGGTAAGGAATGAAGAGACGCAGAGCACAAAAGTGTTTGGCACCCCCAACTACATTTTCGCCAACTTATTGAACCAAAAACTTATTTTTGGTTAAAGCTTATTCCTGATGACGCGGATAAAAGCTAGCATAGAGATTCCCAGAGCCAAAAACGATCTTGAAGGTACATTCACCCACCCCTTTCTCTTCCCCCACTTTCTCGTGGAAGTTCCCGCGCGCCCTCTTCGATCACATCTAAGTGATCTTCGCTAACATTTTCACCTCCGAAGCATTCTTTTTACTGTCGAATGGTTTTTGGGTGTCTATCAGCTCAAAAAGGTGATTGCAGTATAACCACGAATATACAACCAAAAAGTTCAGGGGTAAAGACAGAAAAGATTCAAATCCATATCCAGATTCAGATGATTCATTGATAACAATTTAGAGGACCTACTCAGAAGGTCAAAGTCCAGCCAATGTACTATAAAAGGGCGTTGGGAATGCTGGAGGCACACTCGTCAACGTTTCTTCTGTTCCTTAGCAGCAGTTTTATCATCCTTTTCTAATGTTTCCGTCTTAATAATTTCCACCTGAATTCATTTCCGATCGTCATGTTTCAGGGCAGTGAAATGAGGTACTTCTTGTTTGTAACAGCTGTAGTGGCAGCAACGTCGGCTTCTTGTGAGTATCTGCTCTAATCTTGATTCCCGTATAACTCTAAGTTGGCTATAATTCCAGATTATGGTGTCGGTGACAGGGTTCCGTCACGACTCCATTTTAAGCCAAGGTTCGAGCCGGTGCGAGTCGATTCCGTAGTAAAGGCCTCAGAGGCTGACTTGAATAAGGCTGTTGAAGAACTCGCCAGTCTCGGTGAAGAGCTGAAGGAATTGAATGGAGCCTCAGATGGATCCGAGCCCGATGTTCTAGCTCAACCCTCTGCAAATGTCCCCTCTGTGAATCCTTACAGCCCGCAGCTGCAAGAAACTTCTCCAGAAGTTGCAGTTCCGCCTCCTGCAGAGCCATCGGTCCCAGCCCCTGCCGTCGCGTCACCAGCAGCAGATACGCCAGCAGAAGCTCCCGCTCCTCTTCCTCTACAAGCAACTACTGCTCCGACTACCACATTCAAGTTGGTGTTTTTTCTTGAGACTTGATGGTAAGTTTGGTTAGCTAAAAAATTGTTTCCAGATACGTGCTGAATGAGAAGGCTGCAGAGGCATATTGGAAGACATTTGTGCCCCCAGTTGGAACGACCATGGCGCCTCCAGCTGAGGACGTTTCTTCCGGGAAGACCAATGCTCCATTCAGCCAAGATGTTTCCTCTCAGCACCTCCCTCCCGCGGAGTCTTCTGCGACAGTCAATGAACCACCAGTAGAGAATGTTCCCACGGAACCTCCTGTCATGTCTCCTGTTGAGGCAACCACTGTTTCCGTCAGCGAACCACCAGCAGACGATGTTTCAACAAAAACTGACGTCGTTCCTTCCANAAACCCTTACGGCTCAACGCCACAGGAAGCTTCCCCAGAAGCTCCCGTTTTACCACCTGTAGAGCCCACTGCCGCTCCAGTACCGCCAGCCGAAGATGTGCCTGCTGAAGCTCCCGCTCTCCTTCCTTCTCAAGCAACTACCGCTCAGACTACTACATTCAAGTTAGCGCTATTTTGAATCTCGTTTGGTTCAGATTTAGGTAATTGAAATAGTGGCTTCCAGATACGTCCTAAATGAGAAGGCTGCAGAAGCATACTGGAAGACTTTCGTCCCTCCAGTCGAAACCACTGTGGCCCCTTCAGCTGAAGACGTTTCATCTGGGAAGACTAATGCTCCAGTAACCCAAGATGTTCCCGCTGAGGACCTGCCTCCCGCGGAGTCTTCTGCGGCTCCGACGGACGTGAAACCGGTGGAGGATATTCCTACGGAAACTACTGTCGGAGGAAGTACCACTTCTATCAGCGAACCACCAGCAAGGGATGTTTCACCGAAAGCTGAAGTCGTTCCTTCCGTAAACCCTTATGGCTCAGTGCCACAGGAAGCTTCTCCAGATGCTCCAGTTCTGCCTCCAGTGGAAACCACTGCCGCTCCAGTAAACGTACCGCCAGCAGAAGATGTTCCTTCGGAAGCTCCTACCCTTCCTCTACAGGCAACTACCGCTCCGACTACTACATTCAAGTTGGTGCTTTTCTTATTCTCGCTTGTTTCAGGTTTGATTAGCTAGAAAATTGTTTTCAGATACGTGCTGAATGAGAAGGCTGCAGAGGCATACTGGAAGACTTTCGTCCCTCCAGTCGAAACTACTATGACTCCTTCAGTTGAGGAGGCTTCATCCGTAAATCCTCATGCTCCAGTGAACCAAGATGTTCCCGCAGAACCAGCACCTCCCGCAGAAACTTCTATGTCATCGGTCAGCGTGCCTCCAGCGAAGGATGTTGCCACGGAACCTCCTGTCGTGTCTCCTGTTGAAGCGACTACTGTTTCCGTCAGCGAACCACCAGCAGACGATGTTTCAACAAAAACTGACGTCGTTCCTTCCACAAACCCTTACGGCTCAACGCCACAGGAAGCTTCCCCAGAAGCTCCCGTTTTACCACCTGTAGAGCCCACTGCCGCTCCAGTACCGCCAGCCGAAGATGTGCCTACTGAAGCTTCCACTCTCCTTCCTTCACAAGAAACTACCGCCCCGACTACTACATTCAAGTTAGCACTTTTTTGAATCTTGCTTGTTTCAGGTTTTATTAGCTAAAATATGTTTCCAGATACGTGCTGAATGAGAAGGCTGCAGAGGCATACTGGAAGACTTTCGTCCCTCCAGTCGTAACCACCATGGCTCCTTCATTTGAGGAGGCTTCATCCGTAAATCCTCATGCTCCTGTAAACCAAGATGTTTCCGCAGAACCAGCGTCTCCCGCAGAGTCCTCTGTGTCATCGGTCAAAGTGCCATCAGCAGAGGATGTTCCAGCAAAAGTTCCTACCACGTCTCCCATTGAGGAAACGACCGTTTCTGTCAGCATGTCATCGGCAGAGAATGTTCCCTCCACCTTGGCTCCTCTCGAGGCAACAACTGCTCCGACAACTACATTCAAGTTTGTGTACTCTCGAGTCTTACTTAGTTACGTTAACTGAACCCATTGCTTGCAGATACGTACTAAATGAGAAGGCTGCAGAGGCATATTGGAAGACGTTTGTCCCTCCAGTTGTGACTACTGCGGCTCCGCCTGCCAAGGACGCTTCTGCCGAAACCTCCGAACCAGCATTGGAACCGCTTGCCGAGGCTCCTTCAGTCGAAGACACGGAGGTTTCCACCGGTTCACCATCCACTGATGCCCAGACTGCTAAAGAAGTTCCGATCTCGAATCCTTATGCGCCTCCAGTTATTCCGGAGGTTGCAACTCTCCCACCAGTACCAGTAACACCTGAACTGTTGCCGCTTGGTGGAATGGGTCCTGTGGTGAGCTAGTTTACTCTTCCTCTCTCTAAGCCACGATTGTTTTGAATGTGATATCCTAGGTGATCGATGTTCCTGTTGTCGAAGTTCAGAACACAGTAGCTCATTCAACTCAAAGAGAGCCCACATCAAGTAAGGCGAAGGCTGAGATGAAGAAGGGACATCAGCAGAAAGGACCTTCGGAGTCGCTTCCGCTCGCTGAACCCGCTCTTCCTAAGCAAAGAAGACCATTCTGGTACTAGTGGGTGCATCCCGATATAACCTAATTCTTGATTCTGACCTTGTCTAATAATCCTGTGCAACTGTCTAATGTTTATATATAATAGTGAGTTGACCAAATGCGAATATCTAGCGATCTCACGGTGTACAGATTATGCGTGTTTTACTCTGTGATAGTCAAAGTTTAGTGGATAAAGATGTTTATTAGCTAATAGTGAGTAGTGTAAATCAAGAAACATCACGGCCATGCGCGATTTTCATTCGACCAGGTATAGGTTTTGCTGAATTGTGTGGGCTACCTTCCCAAAAGAGGTGGAAGATTTGGTTGAGTGTAGCGGGTATGGGCCCAGGATTAGACTCCCAAACTACAAGTGAGACTTTGGATCTGCTTGCGATACATCTGCGCTGCCAGGTGATCTAATTGCTGATGTTGAGAAACCGCCTCAACTCCAATAGTGCTCCACATGACGCGGCTTCTCCAAAGGGTGAAACGAGTTTAATCATATATGCCGAGAAAAGAGATTACTTTGAACGCGTTCATGAGCTCGTGAAAAGAGCTCCTAAGGGACCCCAAAAACACTGACGCATAGCTTTTTCCGGATTTTCCTACTCCAAATAGATGTAGCTGTATCGTCGAACAAAAATCTCAGACGAGTGGGCTTAGACCGCTGAGCCCAGCTTGGAGGGAAGAACCGATTGTTCCCTTGACTGTTTTTTCGACCCTACTCGAATACTATTGCTGCTGTGGAGCTCGAAGTAAAAAAAACAAGTAAAATAAAGGGATTTAAACGGAACGAGTTACCCTTATTTAAGTATGTTTTTTTATTCTCGCGTTTTTCGGACGCTGCCATCGCCCCACAAACCTTTTGAGACACTCGATAGAATTGGCGAGATCAAGAACACCTGGCCTTCCTTTCCAATTCAATCGGGAGTGTGCCTTATCGTTACTTACTGATCTTACTGCACGCCACGGCTTTTTGACAATCTTGACAACAGAAGGCTACGATGAAAATAAAACTGTAGCAGTAAGTGTGACTCCAAAAGAAGGAGAGCTGATGAGGTATCGAGCGAGGAAGTCATGGAAGTAGACACTCGATGGCTTCACTTATTTTCGTTCATCCAATAAGTGCAAAATCGCCATTGAAAATAAGTGGACTCTCGACCGATGCAGCGCAATTGAAATGCCCGAACCAGGTATTGAGATGTTTTTGGGTGAAAGAGTTGCCTACACGACTTTCAAGCTGTTGCATCCCTTCTGACTGCCAGGTAGCACAGGAAAAGTATCCATAATTATGCAAAGGTCAGTTTCCAGGAATTAGTCTGGTTTCCACTCCACATTGCTATAGCCAAAGAAGGAAAAGGAGCCGGATTCGCAGGCGCGGTGCTGGTGCTGATGCTCTGCACCGGGCCTGCAAAGCCGGTCATGGTGCTCAGAAACGATTCTGAGTCAAGGGATCGAGTTTTCGACTGGGACCTGAGGACTGCGGAAGAGGTGCTGTAAATGAGCGAAAAGCTAACCCCATGCCCAAAGTGAAGGGTGCACAGAAGAGCTCAAAGGCTTCTCCGAATTGCATCTCCAACCCCTTAATTGTAGCGAGCAAAGAAGTCATCCCTCTCGATTCGGTTCAGTTTAGCACTTTCACCCCACATGTGATCTATTTTTGTGACGTTCTTAATTGCTCTATACACGGCCGTTTGGGTCAGTCTTTATTGGGACACCTCCTTTACTTATGGTCGGACCTCGACGGCGCGTTCCTGTTCATGCTTTCCCTTTTCAGATTCACTAGAGTGAAGTTGCAGTTTTTATGAATCACTTTTTCCGATTTACTGCATAATTACTACTGTTAATTACTTTTGTCCAAGCAGACATGAATTGAACAGCAACTGAGGGGTTTTTCAAATATCGGGCGCTCGCAATTCCTTTTCTTATCCATTCGGGAGAAAAACCCGATGCTTGTCCCATTCCCGTCTTTCCGAGCTCGGTTCAAAATTCTCACTATGGAAACTTGCTTCTCACAGTTGTACCTAATTAAACATCTATGCTTTTTCTCAAAACAGGTTATCGTCGCTGTCATTAACCACCCTCGAGAGACAGGCATTCCCCTCGAGAGACAAGCATTCAGCATGCTTACTCGAAGCCAATCAGCAGAAACTGAGCTATTTCGAAGTTTTTCTTTGATCACCCTCTGCTCTGAACATTTCTCTTCAGATCATGGCTATCAGAATAGATCTTCGTTCATAATTATTGTTTGCAAACTATTTTTTCTAAGGTCACAATTTACTAGCTCAAGGGATGAATTCAAGAGCAACTGTGATCTGTTAAATGGAATGAATCAATATGAAAGAGCCATTAATATTAAACTCTATTTTTCCTACCTCATCTCACACTGAACTTTGCTCTGGGGCGAGTCATGGGGCTTCACAGATAAGCGCCAGTGCCCAAACTTTATTGAAAAAAGATGTTCTCGAGTGCCAGGTTCGGGAGCAGTGATCCTGGTGAAAATGTAGTTGGGGGGTGCCAGGCACTCTTATGCTCTGCGTCTCTTCATTTCTTACC